CCTATTTCCCCCCATTTTTTAAGGAAATAAATGTGACTTGTGTTTGGAATCCCAAGAAGAAATTTACTTTCTCACGTGGGATATGTTTTACAGCTGGTCAGTTGTACTTTGTGTGTGTGTGTGTGTGTGTGTGTGTGTGTATGTATGTGTATGTGTGGTCTTTTCTCTGCATCATATATGGTGGTGGGGTGGTGCCAGTGTTACCCCTGATGAATAATGTCTGTCTTGGTTAGATCATTCTTAACTTTACTGGTATCTCTTCCTGTTTCCTTACCCAGTTATGCTGTTATTGCCTATGGCTGCGCCAGCTGCCCAAAGCTAACTTGTGAGAGAGAAGGCTGCCAGACTGAGTTCTGCTACCACTGCAAGCAGATATGGCATCCAAATCAGACATGCGATATGGCCCGTCAACAGAGGGCACAGACTTTGCGAGTTCGGACCAAACACACGTCAGGTCTCAGTTATGGGCAAGAATCTGGACCAGGTATAAGTTGGCATTATCTCATTGCCTCTTTATTTGGTATTTCATTATGTGAGCTCAAAGCTGGAAGAGATTATCTTAGTGTATAACCCAAGTATACCCAGGGATCAGAGAGTAGAAAATATCATTTAGTAATACTTTCAATATTATATTTGATAAATAGCTTCTCTCTCTGACCATTATAGGTTATCCAACCCACATAAAATTGGAATACAGCGAAACTGAATTGTCTAGTTTCTACCTTTTTAGTAATATGTCTCAGATTTGAGGAAAATTAGGTCCTTTTGCTAGGGGCTTTTTCACCCAAAACTTTCATTGTGAGCAGAAAGACATTTAATTAGTGTTAAACCTATACTGTTTGCCTTCAAGCTGTAAATGCATCACCACTTTCTCGGAAATGGGGTACAGATTTAAGAAAAGGAAGTAACAGTAGTATGGATTAATGATTAACCTTAAAAGGAGGAATGTCACACATTCAGTTCCAACCTTGACAAGTCAGAGTAAACCTATTTGCCTTGTACTTGATTTCACTGATGTCATTTGGGAGAGGCTAGTCAGAAAGATTCTACCATTCACTTTTTCCTGGCACAACATAATCTACATTGTCATTTTGATAGGATAGTTCTTAACTTGCTGTGAAAATTACCAGGTGTATGCTACATAGCATACTCAATTTTTTTAGGTTTTGAATTTGAAAGTGCTATGGGAAGGGATTGTGGGTTGTATTAAGGACAAATCACAATGATACTTGTCGAACTTGAAAAGTTAGTTTCCTGAACTAATGGGTTTTTCAAAACTTAAAGCTAATTCTACACTGTAGACTGTTCTTCCTGTAGGATTCTGCTTTGAAATCTGCCAGCCTATTGACTGGTAGAAATTCCATTTTTCTTGGAAACATCTTTTTCTCTAGGGAAGTCTCCTTGTTCAGAGTGTGGCTCAAGTGCTATGTAAGATGCCAGTTATTGGAATAGACAGCTCAATATAAGATAGGATCTGTTTTATGAAAATTTCTGAGGTCTAGACATAGCCAACCTTTCAGTAAAGTGGGTTGCACAATTTGGAATGCTCAGTCAAGAGTTCTTGACTGCCACTTCATTTCTTGTATGTATTCTTAGGAATAATTAAGTCAAACTAGGTTTAACTGGGGTATTTTTCTACCCATTTTTTCTTCCTCCCTTAGCAGATGACATCAAGCCGTGCCCACGATGCAGTGCTTACATTATCAAGATGAATGATGGAAGCTGTAATCACATGACGTGTGCAGTATGTGGCTGTGAATTCTGCTGGCTTTGTATGAAAGAGATCTCAGATTTGCATTACCTCAGGTAAGATGGGAAACATGTCCATTGCCTTTGTAGTTTTGCTCTCACTGATCTGGGGAAAAGGACATCAAAGAGATGCAGCTGTCCTCTCATTACAGAATAAGGAAGCGGTAAAACGTTCCTCTGATGTGCCCCTTTGATCATGGGTTTTCTCTAGCTCCACAACCTCCAGGGACTGTTTCCATCACCTTCAAGGTTATATCTTATCCACTCCTAGCATGGCTTTTAAAGCTTTCCACTGTCTGGCCCTAATCTACTTTTCTAGCTTTTTCCATTCTGCTTTTATACATGCTATATTTCAGATAATCTGGGCTTTGTTGTTCCCTGTGTCTCTGTTTGCTCTCTTGCCTCTATACTTGTTCATGTTCTTTCCTTTGCCTGGAATGCTTTCTGATCACCTTCCAGTATCTCCCTTTTATCTCAACTTGTTCAGTTCTTATCCATCCTTTAAGAGCCAGCTAAATGCCATTTCATCCATACAACTTTGTCTGCCTCATTCTTCTTTATTGACATTCTTTTATCTCTTTCATTATAAGTATCATCACCATGATGATAATACATATCTAATCTTACTAAACTATAAGTAGTACTTTAAGTACATGTCTAATTTTAATAAACTATAAGTATCTTGACACTAGAGTTATGATTATTTTACAGTTTCTTACGTGTAGTGAGTTTCCAAAGAATTCATTGATATAATTTTAAAATATTGTTCTGGAATAGTTCATATTTACAGGCAAACTTAGCATTCATTGTGTAAATGAAACCCCTTCATTTCCAATTTAGTGAACATTCGAGTACTTACTATGTACCAGTCATTGGGGACACAGGAGTGAATAAGACATGATCCCTACTTTCAAAACTGCTTATCCCATCTAGCCTCCTTTGGAGGCTGAGGCTGGAGGATCCCTTGAGACCAGGAGTTCAAGACCAGGCTGAGCAACATAGTGACAGCCCATCTTCTAAGGGAAAAAATAAATAAGTAAATAAAGTACCAGATCAACGTAAAAGGTGCAACAAGTTCTTTTTATATCCCCTCCCAGGAGTATGGTTTGCAGTATCTATTAGGTGTGGTAGAACATATGCCAAGAAAACTACACAAATCAGAGTGTTCATTAGCTGCAAGACACAATGTTGTCTGGATGAGATATCGTCCAAGATATCAAGTGCACAGGCTATCCAGGATCCCAAATATTGTCAGTCAAGGCATCTAGATCTGCGTTGGTGGATTAGGGAAGACCGAGTTCAGCAGAGAAGAATGGAAAAAGAGTTTCAAGTCTGGAGGCTTGCCTTTACAAAAGAAAAAGAAAAAAAGTTAACCCAGAGCTCTAATAGTCTGGCCTTGTCCTTTGCTCTGTCTTGTGTAATATATTCATTTCATGTAACCTCTTGTAACTGTTAGTCACTCCTATTGAAAAGAAGGCTGTTGCTCTTATCAATCCCTCTGATGACAGTAGCTGCGTTTGTAATATTGACATTAACTTTAGCATGTTTCCTCTGCAGCCCCTCTGGCTGTACATTCTGGGGCAAGAAGCCATGGAGCCGCAAGAAGAAAATTCTTTGGCAGCTGGGCACATTGATTGGTGCTCCGGTGGGGATTTCTCTCATTGCTGGCATTGCCATTCCTGCCATGGTCATCGGCATTCCTGTTTATGTCGGAAGGAAGGTAAGACATGCTGGATTGTGTGTATGTTCCCGCTTTAGGTTTGTTGGTAACGATTTGAGGGAAATGAAAAGGAGCTTATATTTCAAAGCTGCCAGAAAACCAACTGGTTCTTAGATAAAAATAACCTCAATTTCTTAAATGGATTTTCATGAACCCCCATGAGATCTGAAAGTTCATATTAACGTCCTGGGCCTGACTTGTCTCAGTGACTTAAAGGTAAAATGCTTACTTCATTTCCCTGAGTTATATTTTCTCTCTTCTTGGAGTAACTTTGTCTGCATTAGTTTGCATCTTTCAGGTCTGAGCTAGGTTAAAATTTGAGAATGATTCCTCTTTGGGGTGGAGGATATGTTTTAATATAGAAAACTTATAAGTGAAGATTCATTTGTCCCTTTTTTTCCTCTGGCAAAAGACTGACGTCCTAACCTGCTGACCTGGATTTTTTTTTTTTTTATTCTTAGATTCACAGCAGGTATGAGGGAAGGAAAACCTCCAAACACAAGAGGAATTTGGCTATCACAGGAGGAGTGACTTTGTCGGTTATTGCATCCCCAGTTATTGCTGCAGTTAGTGTTGGTAAGCTAATTACAATAATGACTCTCTCTCTCTCTCTCTCTCTCTCTCTCTCTCTCTCTCTCTCAGCTTTCTGACTGTAGCAATTTAGCCAGCTGACCAGGTGTTTCCAGAGACGACTACATTTTATGCCAAACCCTTCTTGGTAGTTAAGTCTATTAGACACCATTATTATGATTTTTTTTTTTTTTTAGTTTTGTAGCCACACCAATTATCAGAGTTGGGGATCTTTTGTTCCTAAGTTAGTGCCTTAGAACGCCATCTGGCACATAGTAAAGATTGAATTAAAGAAAAGTACTTTAATCCCTAGTTCACCTTTCATCTTCCTCCTCCTCCACTTGCCATGGTACTTTTCTTTTCATTTGTTAAATGTATACACTGTACATACATTCTCATTTGATCATTGACAACCCTGGGAAGATAGGTCCGAGGTCATACAGTTATTAAATTGGAGCCAAGATTCTAATTCAGGTCTTTCTCATCATTCTGTTAAACTAGGCAACCTCTCTGGAATAGCCTCACAGTATTTTGGGAAGCATGAGTGTTTGCTTTAGAATAATAATAATATAACTAACATTTAACGAAGTTCTCCGTGTGCCAGGAGTGGTTCTGAGTGTTTTTCATGTATTAATTTATTTAATCTTCACAATCCTCACAAAAAGCAGCATAATTATAACAGAAAAGTACAGTAGTTTTCCCAAGATCACTTAGCTGGGATATGAATCAAGGCAGCCTGCCTTTAGATCCTGTGCTTTTTTTTTTTTTTTTTTGAGACAGAGTCTTGCTCTGTCACCTCAGGTAGAGTGCAGTAGTGTCATCGTAGCTCCCACTGCAATCTCAAACTCTTGGGCTCGAGCAATCATCCTGCCTCAGACTCCCAAGTAGCTGGGACTACAGGCATGTACCATGATGTCCAGCTAATTTTTCTGTGTTTAGTAGAGACAGGGTCTTGCTCTTGCTCAGGCTGGTCTCGAATTCCTGAGCTCAAGCAGGTGTGAGCCACCTTGCTCTCCCGGCCAGATCTCGTGCTCTCAACAGCTATCATTCTACCTCACACAGCAGCAAAATTTTGGAATTAACATCCTCAAGGATCCTAAACCCAGTCAGTAGTCACTTATTTAATGTTTGATTCTTGATTGGTTCTTAGATTAGCACTTTACTAGTGAATAGAAGGGGAGGAAATGAAAACATATTTACTGTGCTAGGCACTGTACATGCATTCTCATTTGATCATTGACAACTCTGGGAAGATAAATCCAAGGTCATATAGCCAATAAATTGGCTATTACACCAGGCATCCTCTTCCGAGTAGCCATCTTCTGTCTTTCTTTGACCCTTTGTAAAGTGGTTTGTCCATGCCAAGGCTGGGAAAAAGTATTCAGGGCAGTTGGAACCTGATGGCCTGCTGACGTGTTTCCTTCTCTTCCCCCAGGTATTGGTGTCCCCATTATGCTGGCATATGTCTATGGGGTTGTGCCCATTTCTCTCTGTCGTGGAGGTGGCTGTGGAGTTAGCACAGCCAACGGAAAAGGAGTGAAAATTGAGTTTGATGAAGATGATGGTCCAATCACAGGTGGGAGGGAATTTTATTTCTATTTGAATTTATAGTACACAAGATAAAAATCAGTAAAATTTAGCATATTTTACAGGGAGACTGTCATTGGATTACTTTAGATAATGAGCTTTGTAGGGGGTATTTTTAGCTTTTCATTTCTTTGTTCCAGAGTTATTAGGTTAATTCCTCTGGTACTTGCCTATGTGTGGCAGGTACAAACTAGTAGGATTCCAAGTAACTCCAAATATGCTGGTAGTAGTGATTATAATAAAGTCTTATATCTGCACAGTACTGTATAATTTTCAGAGGACTTTACACAGTTATTATCTCACTTGCTTTTTACAACAGCTCTTGCTATCATTATTATCCCCACTTAAATGGGAACTTCTTTGAGCTTTTGTCTCAGTATCTATTAAGAGCTTTCACAAGGGCTGGGACTAGAGCAAGTCTTCTGACTTCTACTTTCATGTCGTTTCTACTTTACCATAGTAACTAACCTGGGGCACAAAGGTCCCCAAAGGTTTTTCAAGCTTCCTAGTAGAAGCTTCTACTAGAATCAGCACATGATCTAAACATATTTTGAAATTTTCCTGCTTGATTAAATGGCAACTACAATGTAGTAGAAAGTGAATAATGGATTTGGAATCAGACTTGTTATTTTGTGTGACTAACCATGACCTTGGACAAGTCATTTAGTTTTAAATTCTGGTTTTCTCAACTAAAATTGAGGCTATTAATGCCTAATTATTAGAATGATTATCAAACATATGCTGAAACACCTGATATGTGGTAGCTGCACAAAGCAGCTGTTCATTAAGTAAATACTTTACTACTTTTCTGCATGAAAATCCTCCACTCTGAAGAGTCATTGCAGTAATATGCCTACCAGATTGTTTTGCTGCTGTGCTATCTTGAATTGAGATGTTTGGATCTATCCCCAGTGGCAGATGCCTGGCGAGCCCTCAAGAATCCCAGCATTGGGGAAAGCAGCATCGAAGGCCTGACTAGTGTATTGAGCACTAGCGGAAGCCCTACCGATGGGCTCAGCGTCATGCAAGGCCCCTACAGCGAAACAGCCAGCTTTGCAGCTCTGTCAGGGGGCACGCTGAGTGGCGGCATTCTCTCCAGTGGCAAGGGAAAATACAGCAGGTAAACAAATAGATCATTTCTAACAGAAATGGTTGGAATTATAAGAAGTAACATATTGAGCCATTTCTCTGTGCCAGGCATGTCCTATATATCATCTTATTTTGATGTAATTGTCAATGTTATCTTTTTTTTTTTTTTAACTTTTACAAACGGGAAATAGGTTTAGAAAGGTTAAGTGACTTATGCACTTCAGTGTTCTTTCCACTACACCATAGATGCTTCTATATAAAGAATAATCCTGACTTCAGATCCTCCCTCAACTACGTTAGGCTGCCTGTTTCAGGAAGGGACAGCGGGCATTCTGATAGAATGCCTAAGGCTGTGCTCTCCATTAGGCTTATCATTGGCTTTCAGCATTTATGCTGTACCTTGGCTTATTGGTACTGTGATCCTTATTACCTTTCTATTCTCTTTCGATAGATAAGGAAAATCAATTCTATGAACTTGTGTAGAGAATATATGAAGCTTTATGACTAAAAAGATTGTGACTTGTTTGGTCATTTCAGTAGTTAGACAAAACAGAATACATTCGAAGGAGCATGACAGATGTTACATGAGAAGTGGCTGAGGAGAAGAGAGGCCTGGGGAGGGGTAAAGGTGGAGCAAAGCAGGATAGGAAGGGAGGGGAGATGGTTGCCTTCAAATATCTGAAGGGCCGTTAACTAGGAAAAGGATTAGACTTCTGTGATTCATGCCAAGAGGTAAATTAAGATGACTTGGCAGAAGCTAGATGGAAACTAATTTTGGTTCAGTATAGAGAATATAGGGAAAAGCTATTTAAAAGCCCGAAGAAGGAAAGCACTACCTTAGCAGATACTGAGCAGCCTATGCCTGAAAGTGTTTAAAGTGGACCAGATGACCATTTGGTTATTAGAAGAATGCAAGCAAAAGATGACAGGTAGACTAGATCCCACATCTGAATGCCTGTCCGTCACCTAGGAGCCTCTTAAAAATATATTTCGGGGCCCTATTCAAGAATTTATAACTTAGAATCTTGTGGAGTAGGGCCTAGAGGGTGGTCTGTGTTTCGATAAAGCTCCCCAGGTGATTCTAGCATGGCCATTGTACCAGCCAGCATCTGGGAACTACCTGAGTAGGTAGCCTTTGTGAAGGGCTCTTCCAACTCAGAGTGATTCTGTGGCAGAGCTGAAACTAGAACCCAGTCCTCTGTCTCCGTGTACTTTCCATTGCACTCCCTCATTTTCCTGGGCCTTGGCACATGTTTGAAGGGCTTCTGAGGTTGGAGCAGCAGAGGAAAAGCACAGGGCAGCAGGATGGAGGCTGCTCGAATGTGCAGCTGCAGGCTGCTACTGACCTGGCTCTGTCTCATGCCTTGCTTGTCTCTTGTTAGGGGATCCCGCCCCCACATGCTGGAGTTTTCACTGCTGTGCTTTCTTAAAACCAACACCCCTGTAAATAAGCAGACAGACGTAATTGGAGACTGACTTGCTGAAACTGCAGCTTAGCCAGTCCAGCTGTTCCAGTTCTGTGAAAGCCTTTCTTTTATAGGAAGTGAATGAGTCAGATGGGTTTGACTGTGAAACCCATTATGAGGAAATACTTAAGTGTGCCACAAAATGGTGTTGGAGCCAAGAAAGGAATTAGTTATGGGTTCCTAGCTCTGAGACACATTGGGAAAGTTTGCTGCTCTAAGAGGAAGGAGGAGGTTGACTCCTACATGTCCTTCAATCTCATAGCCTGGAGGTAATTTGATTGCTAAATGTTTGAGTTCCTATTATGTGCAAGGTAGGGAGGGTAAAGTGTGAATGAGTTGTGGTCTCTCCTTCTGTGGTGTTCACAGAAGGGAATGGGAGAAAGATGCGTAAGTTGATAAATTGGTAGGTGCTGTGGGAGTACTTAGTTTGAAGTGAGTGGTTTGCTCGGAGAATGAGGGAAAATGTTTGGACTTTGTTTTTAAGGACTGAATATAAATTTATCTGGTAGAGAAAAACTTCCAGAGAGAGAGAATAGCATGTGCAAAGTCATGGAGTATAAAATGTGTAATAGGTATCTAAAGAAAGAAAAAATTCAGAGTGACTATGATTTCAGATCCATAGTGAATAATGGAACCGGACAGAGAGCTCCCTGGCAGATCAGGAAAACCTCAAATGCCTGTTGGCAGTAGGGAGCCAGGAATGAGAGAATTGTTAGAGCAAATAGGTCTTTGTCTACACCGGCACTGGTCTGGAGGTTGTTTGACTTGGACTCAGAGGCTACTGGAGAGGGAACCCAGTTGTAATCATCCGGGCAGGAGACACTGAGGGCATGAAATTAAGCAGTAGCAGTGGGTATAGAAAGGAGGGGACGATTTCAGTAGGTATTTAAGAGAGAAAATGTGTGGGCCTCTAACTGAGCTGTTTGTCAAGTAGAGAAGATCAGACAGATCACCACAATTTACAGAAGAATAATGGAAGAGGTGTGTGCCAGGAAGCAGACTGTCTTGGAATACCCAGGTCTCATATTAACTTGAACGTCCCCTCTTTACACAGGTTAGAAGTCCAAGCCGATGTCCAAAAGGAAATTTTCCCCAAAGACACAGCCAGTCTTGGTGCAATTAGTGACAACGCAAGCACTCGTGCTATGGCCGGTTCCATAATCAGTTCCTACAACCCACAGGACAGGTATGTGAACAGTCAGATGCCCAGGAGAGGTTGCATTTTTTTGGTCGAGCACTAGGTCTTCAGAAGCTCAATGCCTCATGTCAGGGCTCTGTGTACCATCTAGTCGGGTATATACCCGGTGAATTCACTGAGCAAGTTCTTGGTACTGGAGTGTTTAGCATCTCTTGATTCTTCTTGTTAGCACTTGATTTTTAGAGATTTCCTTTCTTTCTTCTTCCTTTTCTTTCAGAGGTTTTTTATTTTCATTTTTTTTTTCTTTCTTTCTTTCTTTTTCTTTCTTTTTTTTTTTGTATATTGATTTTGTATCCTACAACCTTCCTGAACTCATTTATATGTATAATTAAAGAGAACTTTAAAGGGCTAGATTGGTGTTCATTGATGTCTGTG